ACTTATGAAACTGTAACTAAACCTTAAATGAATAATAGCTAAATAATTATAAAACAGCAGCTAAAAGTATCAAAACTGGTGCTAAAATGTACAATTTGTTCAATTCAACATAAAAATGTAAATAAAAATAGTAAAACGGAACAAGATGTGTTATTTTATGTACATGTACTCAGTAATTTACTGCAGAAAAGATGAAATATAATTAGTTTTTAATAAACCTTTATTTTACCTAGAAAGACATTAAAAACAGGTTCTTATTTACCTTTCTTATTTAGTTAAATATTGCAGATTATCCTTTATTTAAACAAATATTTTATCATGTAAGGGGCTAATAATAGAGTAACTTGGAAAAAGATTAATTGTAAAAACTATACAGAAGAAACTTTAAATGCTGAGTCAGCGTTTAAAGTTTCTTCTGTATAGTTTTTATCATCTATAAATATAAAATACTAAAACTAATAACTTTACTAGTTTTAGTATTTTATATTTATAGATGCTCAGGACAACGGATGAAATTTAGCTGTTGTGCAAATTCCAGCACATTTAAMTTCACGTGTGTTGTCCTTTTAAATAAATTTAGATTTAAATGCATAAAAATATATATTTTGTGTTTTTAAGGGAGCAGAAATGAACCAAGTCACCATAACCACAGAACTGGATGTAACTAAGTGAAGGTTTCTGCCTTAGTGAAAAGAAAATGATCAACCATAACTCATTATTCCTTGAATCTCCTGACTGTCCTAAAAGTCCTGCACAGTTTCCAGCTGGTTTCCTCCAGAGGACATCTGATCAGCCAGCGGCTCGGCTGTTTAAATACCAGAAACGGGCCGTGGTCCAGTTCCTCCCAGAAGGCTTTCCATCGTCTCCTCTCTGAGGGATTAACTCAGCCGATGATGGGAACTTTGCAGCTTTAAAAAAAGAAACGTTTTTACATCCTCTCACCTTTTCTGTTGCTGCGAAAAAGTTTTTGCACTTTAAAGCTCGATGTTGGCTTTTTGTGTTCTCTGTGGCTGAAAAATAAATGTTTGTGATAAAACAAGGAGACAGTGGTTGTTCTTCCTCCGTGTGGCTGCAAAGTGAGGAGCTGTGCTGTCAGGTTGAATCAGAAGCTTGTGCGGGGYCAGAGCAGACATGTTGGTGTTTGTCTCTGTGATGACACAACGTCAGCGAATCTCTGCTGAAATCTGCTTCCTCTAACATTTCACCAGACCTGAGACTAATCCCATGTGCTGCAGCAAGGGCATCCAGAATTAAAGAGTAATCACCGTGAGTCAGCACGCCGCTCCAATTCTGCCAAATTCAAGAAATAATCTTTTAATTGGATTCAGAGGAGCGACCTGCAGATTAACACACTAACCTTCGTGGTGGGGCCTCATTGAGTTATTATGAATAATTCATTCCAACAAACCCGATCGTGTCCTCACAGTAATTGGACAATGCTGGAACCAGAGCTGGGGCAGAACGGGACCGTCTCTCAGGTCGAATGTCATCCCTGGAGGTTTCCTTTAAAAGACTCAAATTAAGCAGCCCAGAACGAGGATTAAATTAGTTTTAAATAATAATCAGGTTATGGATGATCAGCAAAATGTCTTCAGATCCATCAGATTCTCTCATCTGGACTTTCTGTCTGTTCTTCATGTCCAAACGTCTGCAGTTCCTTCAGGTTGGTCCTGCTTGTGTCCAACAGTCTTTAAATCAAGCCTCAGACGGACTGAGGTCTGAGCTGGCAGTAGACCAGTCCAGGACCTCTAACTGGACCTCCTTAAACCAGTGGAGCTCTGCTTCAGCAGGGTGTTATGGGTCAAGAT